ATAACCAAACTGTTAGCCATGCTTATTTGGGGCAGGATAGTGGCACAGATTATTGTTTTAATTCTTTACAATCACCATATATTGTTAGAAGAAGCAGTTGAGATTTTTTAGAGGATTTTCTTTAAATTTCTCTCCAATAATGCTGGACCTGTTTCTGCCAATCTGGGCAAGCAGCCATTGGACAAGCAACCAAGGCATCTCCTAGGAATTTGGAAATTCAGGCTCTTAAGACCCACTCCATCCCTATCAAGTCACAATCTGCATTTTAACAAGATCCATAGGTGATTAAGCCCATTCAAATCTGAGAAGCTCTAGGTGAGAACAGACCCCTTCCTTTCTCTGGGTCTCCGTTTGTCCCCCGCACAGAGGGGCTGTGTCTCTATGGTCCCTTCCAATTGCAGTTTTCTAATTTCATTTATTGTAGCTGTCAGAGTCCCTATAAAAAGGCAGCTGAAGCCAGGCAAGTGGCTTGCCTCTGTAATTTTAACTATCTGGGAGGCTGAAATGGGAGGCTCGTTTGAGCCCAGGCTGGAGGCTGCGGTGAGCTATGATGGCACCACTGCACTCCAACCAAAGCAACAGAGGGAGACCCTGTCAAAAAAAAAAAAAAAAAAAGAAAGAGAGAGAGAAAAGAAGAAAGAAGGAAAGAAGGAAGGAAAGTAAGAGAAAGAAAGAAAAGAAAGAAAGAAGAGAAAGAAGGAAAGAAAAGGAAGGAAGGAGAGAGGGAGAGAAGAGAGGGAAGGGAGGAAGGAGAAAGAGGGAGGGAGGGAGGAAGGGAGAGAGGAAGAAAGGAAGGAAAGAAAAGAAAGAAAGAGAAAGAAAGAAGGGAAGGAAGGAAGGATCATGCCTGTAATCCCAGCACTTTGGGAGGCCAAGAGGGGTGGATCACCTGAGGTCAAGAGTTCAAGACCAGCCTGGCCAACATGGTGAAACCCTTTCTCTACTAAAAACATAAAAATCAAGCCGGGCATGGTGGCGCACGCCTGTAATCCCAGCTACTTAGGAGGCTGAGGCAGGAGAATCGCTGGAACCCGGGAGGCAGAGGCTGCAGTGAGCCGAGATTGAGCCATTGCACTCCAGCCTGGGCGACAGAGCCAGATTCCATCTAAAAAAAAAAAAGAAAGAAAGAAAAAGGAAGGAAGGAGGAAAGAACGAAAGAAAGAAAAAGCAACTGAAAAGGTGGAAGGATGAGTGGCCTGGCTGAACAGCTCCTACTGCCTACAGCTGGACTCAGGTGAGCACCGAAGCGGCCTCACGCTGCAGGTCTGGAGGGAGTCGGAGGAGCAAAGCTGCGTGGGATTCCTGCTGGTGCTAGGACGGGTGCCTACTGTCTGAGTGGAAAGAAGGCGTGGGGCAGTGATAGGGGGCTGGAGGCGCTGCGAGGCGCCTTGGGGTCAGTGCCGCAGAGGCAGCGGGAATGCAGGGTGCAGGGCGGCCTCGGGGCGGCAGCAGGCACTGCGCGGTGGCCCGGGAAGGCGCAGCGCAGGCCACGCAGGGGCGCAGGGCGGTCTCAGGGCGGCAGGGGGCGCTGCGGAGTCGTGGCTCGCTCTGGGAGGCCGCAGGTGCTCGGCGGCCTGGGGAAAGCACCTGGCCAGGTGGGGGCGGGGCCTGGGAAGGCAGGGCCCTAGGGGGCGGGGCCCGGCCGTCCCACAAGAGCCCTTGGCGGCGCTGCCCGGGGATGCTAGCCCGAGAGCAAGCAGAGGAACGACGCACCCGAATCGCGCATTCACGAGCCTTGGACCCTTTGGAACCCAGAGGTGAGTTTAGCGGGGTCGGGTCGGACCAGCTTGGGGGTCCTGGGCACCGGAGCGGCCGCCGGGCGCCGGTTCTTCTGACGCAGTCCGCGCGGTAGGTGGCGGAGCCAGCATCAGCCTGTGGCTTCTTCTCGGTACCTGGGATGCTGGGACACTTTGCCCGGGTGGTCGCAGTCCAGCTCTCCGGGGTCTACCCACGCCGTGGTCCGGAGCACGGAGCCGGGCAAGAGCCACTCAGAAACCGGGTCCGGGGTCCGGGGGCCTGGGGGTCCCGGGGGGCACCTCGCCTCTTCTCTCCGACCGGCACCCGCTCAGCCCCCGCCCCCTTCCCTTGCCGGGGTGAGTCGCATGGACCTGTCCGCTACTGTTCCTTCTGCCCTCTGAAATGCTTTCTCCGGGGTGACTTGGTGCAGACAGAAGCAAACACTTGAAGCGGACTGTTTGGATTCGCTCCAGCGGCTTCAGCCCGGGCTCCCGGGGGCAGACGTGGCCTCCACCACAAGACAGCGCCTGCTCGCTCCGCGCTGGGAGGGCAGGGGCTGCGGGGTCGCCCGGGAGGAGCTCGGGTCCGGGCCTTGAGTCTGAGCTCAAGCGATTTCTGCACAGGAGTCGCCCTCCCGGACCGGCACTGGTCGGGGACTGACGGGTCCAAAGATCCAACGCTAGACTTGGGGCAAATCTCTCAGCCCTCCCCAAGTTTTGGGATCCTGCGCTGTGGGATGGGAAACAGGCGGGGGGGGGTGCACGGAGTCTCTGCTTTGAGCCAGGACCCTGGAATTCTAAAGAATCCTTCAAATCCTTCCTACCTGTGTGGTCTTGGGCAAATTACCTAACCTCTGTGCCTCAGTTTCCTCCTCTGTGAAATGGGCCAAGTAAATAGCACCTCATATAATTATAGTGAGGATTGAATCAGATATTGTGTAAAAAGGACTGAGTTGGATGCCTGGGAGTAGAGAAAGGGATCAATAAGTGATCGCTGCTATTATTGCTGCTTTCCCTGCTGCTATTATCATTATTATTATTATTAATGACTGGGGAGCAGCCTAGCTAGTCGTTAAAGGGACTCCTAGGTGCAAATCCCAGCTCAGCCACTTTCTAGTGTGACCTTGGGAAAGCTACTTAACCTGTCAGCACGTCTGTTTCATTTGTATAATGGGGGTGGTTGGGATACCTACCTTAGAAGATTGTGAAAATTCAGTAAGACGACACCTGCAAAGTACTTAGAGGAGTAAGTGCTGGGTATCAGCGAGTCATTCTTTCACCAATGTGTCACATTGGATCAGGCTGCATAATCTAATAGTAGCTACTGTCTTGTTTTGCTTTGAGGTTGAAACATGATTTATATGAATATTTTATCTGTTTCACAAAGACCAAGATCGGTTCCCTTCCTTCACTTGGGGCTCCTCTGACATTGCTGACTGATCCATTGGGGGTCAAGGTCAGTTCTGGGGAAGGGGCTGAAGGGGCAGAGGGACCCTTGGAGTTGGGGATAGGAGCTTCCAGAATCACAGCTTCTGTTGAACACTCATGGAAGAGGGCTGCAGTTTTATTTGACAAGCAATTGAACCTGGACCTAGATTTCAAAACAAATTCTTGCTAATTTATTTATTTTCTTTCTTTCTATCTATTTTTTTTGGGGGGGGGGTGGATTGTAGTGAGGGAGGAGGTGAGAATAAGCAATATTTTAAATGATAAAAACCAAATAAATTATATTCCTCTTGCCCAGAGGCTGATAGCATTATTTTGAAGGTCAGAGATGGTGTTCTTCATCCCAGTAAAATCATATTAAATCTGTGGAGAGTTTGGAGCAGTTTGGTTGCTCTGGGTGTCTCACCTCCAGGCTCAGCACTCCATTTCCTTTGCATCAGAGGCCTTGAACCCACTAGCATCATAAGCTTGGAAGCCTCCTAGCTTTGTCCCAGCTTCCAATTTTAGCCCATATTTCATGGGTTCAGAGTGGGGAAAAAAAAAAAAAACATAACTCTGAAGGTTCTGAATCCTGCCTAAAAAACTTGATGGGGCACACCAAAGTTCCAGACACAGGCCCCTTTTGGTCCTGGGGACCATCCTGTATACCCTAGGATATGTCCTAATTTGCCTTTGTCACTGTAGAAGACATAGGGGGACACAGCTTTCATATACTCCCCACCCCCAATACTAGTGCTCACAAGTCTTGGGAAGTGGTCACGTGTACCATTCAGAGTTTGGAAATTAAATAGCTCAGGGTCTTTCCTCCTACCTTTAGTTCTTGGCACTGTTAATTAACTCTCTGCACCCAGCACACTGCCAGGCCCCTCAAAGGCATATACCATAGTGGTGAAGGCTGCAAGATTCCAATTCAGCTCCTCTACTAACCAGCTGTGTCATCTTGCACAAGATATTCTACCTCTCTGAGCCTATTTTCCACCTCTGTAACATGGAGACAATAACAGCATGCCTATTTCATGGAATTGTTGAAACACAACATGAATATATGTAGGCTATGTGTATACTTACAGAGGGAGATTAATTGACTTATGTGACTAATGAGACCATATATTAAAACATGAAATGAGTTTTTATGTAGTATATTAGTTCATTTCTAAAATTATTTCTAATGGTAAAGTTTGTATAGTTGAGATGCATCGTGTACATTGATAAATGTGGTAATTTGCTTTCCGATACTGGTACTCTCCCCCAAAGCTGTTATAAAATCAAGGGCACTCTCTAAATTAATGGTATCTTAGAATCAAGGAAATATGGCACACTGCCTGGAAAATACTAAGTGGTCAATAGTTGTGGGTTATTGTTACATCAGGTGCTCTAGAAACATTAAGAGCTTGACTGTAAAGAGAAGAAACGAAAGAGAAATCATTTCACTTATAATAAAGCCTCAGAGAAAAGGCTAGGGAAAATGCAGCCAGGAACATGATCTAATACGGCTGCCAGGAAATTCGCTTGGCAGATTTCACCTGTCGGTTTCAATCTGCGAAGAACTGCTCTGTACCAGACACTGTGCTAGGCACCAGGGGCCATAATGAGATAGGAATGCTGCCCTTGAGGAAGGCGGGCTACTGGAGGTGATAAGGCACAAGTCTCCCTGCCTGATAAGAGAGCTGATGGGCTGCTTCCAGAGCTCCTGCCCCAGGAATCTGGGGAAAGTTCCTACAGCCTGTCCAGCCAGAGCCTTGTAGGCTACACCTCACCCAGCCCTCCACAGCTAGGCCTGGGGGTCTTAAGAAAAGTAGGCAGCTTCTCTGGCAGCTGTGGTGGCCAAAAACAAACGTCCTGGAGAAGGGGCCAAGGCTTCAGAATGCGAAGTGTTCAAGCTACAGAGGGAACAGAGGAAGGAGGCCTCTAAGGGCACATAGGCTGGTGTTTCCCAGACTGTGGCCTCCAGGGACACACTAGCCGGCCAGTGCCTGCCGGCTCACCCACTTCTCTTCTCTGCCCCTCCAGTACGCCCAACCTCAAAGTCCCATCCTCCATGGCTCCCGGAGAGAAGATCAAAGCCAAAATCAAGAAGAATCTGCCTGTGACAGGCCCTCAGGCGCCGACCATTAAAGAGCTGATGCGGTGGTACTGCCTCAACACCAACACCCATGGCTGCCGCCGCATCGTGGTATCCCGTGGCCGCCTGCGCCGCCTCCTCTGGATCGGGTTCACACTGACTGCTGTCGCTCTCATCCTCTGGCAGTGCGCCCTCCTCGTCTTCTCCTTCTATACAGTCTCTGTTTCCATCAAAGTCCGCTTCCAGAAGCTGGATTTTCCTGCAGTCACCATCTGCAACATCAACCCCTACAAGTAAGAGGCATGAGCAGGGAAACCCGAGTAGGGAGCCAGGCCCCCCACCCCCTACCCCACAAGTGCCCAAAGCTCCTCCTGAAAGTGACACACTGGCAGTCTGGAGGCTGATTCCAGCCTACAAATGTGCTTTCTAAAAATTTTAATTTGTTGCTAACACTAGTAAACTGCACTATCCCCAGTTCCAAATCTGTATCTACCAAGTTTTCAATCCATCAGGGACATTTTCTTCCTCTTCTTCTTCTTCTTCCTCTCCTTCTTCTTCCTCTTCCTCCTCTTCTTCTTCTTCTTCTCCTTCTTCTTCTTCTTCTTCTTCTTCTTCTTCTTCTTCTTCTTCTTCTTCTTCTTCTTCTTTCTCTTCTTCTTCTCCTCCTCCTCCTCCTCTTCCTCCTCCTTCTTCTTCTTTTTTTCAGATAGAGTTTTGCTCTTGTTCCCCGAGCTGCAGTGCAATGGCATAATCTCTGCTCACTGCAACCTCTGCCTCCCGGGTTCAAACAATCCTCCCGCCTTAAGCCTCCCTAGTAGCTGGGATTACAGGTGCACACCACCACACCAGGCTAATTTTTTGTATTTTTAGTAGAGATGGGGTTTCACTATGTTGGCCAGGCTGGTCTTGAACTACTAATCTCAGGTGATCCACCCACTTTGGCCTCCCAAAGTGCTGGAATTACAGGCATGAGCCACCACACCCAGACTTTTTTTTCTCTATTTTTTTTTTGTTTGTGTTTTTGTTTTGGAGGCAGGGTCTCACTCTGTCACCCAGGTTGGAGTGCAGTGGTGCAATCATAGCTCACCGCAGCCCCGACCTCTTGGGCTCAAACAATCCTCCCACTGCAGCCTCCTGAGTAGCTGGGACTATAGGCACACACCCCACACCCAGCTAAGGTTTTTTGGTTTTGTAGAGATGGGGTCTCGCTATGTTACTCAGGCTGGTCTCAAACTCCTGAGCTCAAGTGGTGCTGCCACTTTGGTCTCTCAAAAGTGCTGACATTACAGAAATGAGCCACGGCACCTAAACCATCAATGACTCCTGAGGATGGGCTAGCCCAGGAGAGCAGGAAGAGGAAGCTACAGGATTCATTCCACTTAGAAGAGGCCCTGAATGAACTAACCCCCTCTACACACTCCCCATACTAAGCCCAAATCAGCCAGTCCCCATCTGCATCCACGCCCCTGGCTCTCCAGGCTCACATGCTCCCTCCCCCTGCAGCATGAGTGAGCTCAAGGCTGACTCAGAAGTGACACCCAGGTGACTTCTTAAGCACCTCAGCCGCCCCAAATCCTCATCTGAACAAACCCAGCCCCATTAATTGAGATCACTGGGCCCTGGATGTGATCAGCCCTTGGCACCGCCCTATCATCCTCTGCAGGATGTGTTCTAAATGGGTCAGCAGAGTCCTTCTCAGGATTATGGGAAACTGGTCCATGAGGAAGGTCTGAATTGGGCAGACTTTGTCAGAGCAGATGTGGGGAGAAGGGAAAAAGAGCAGGGGAGGAAGATTATCAAAGGAAACTAACTTGCCAGAGTCATCAGTGAGTTGGTGCAAAGCTCAAAATCAAGATCAAGTCTAAAACTCTTTCTCCACCCTCCAGGTCGTTCTCTTCTTTCTTTCTCTCTCCCTCCCTCCTTCTCTCTCTCTCTGGTTCCCCTTTCTTCTTTCCATCCATTATTTGTTCCATAATCATTTACTCGGCATCTGTACACTGTCATGCACTGTACTAGGTTCTGGGATATAGAACTGAACAACTCAAACACAGTCTTTCCCTAGTGGAGCTTATATTGTAGTGGAGGAATAAAGTCTTAATAAATAGAGTAACACTAATGTAATTAACCATAGAGGCACAGTGGCTCATGCCTGAAATCTCAGCACTTTCAGAAACCAAGGCATGAAGATTGCTTGAGTCCAGGTATTCAAGACCAACTTGGGCAACAGAGCAAGATCCCGTCTCTAAAAACATTTTTTTAATTAGCTGGGTGTGATGGCACACACTCAATAGTCCCAGCTACTTGGGAGGCTGAGGTGGGAGGATCGCTTGAGCCCAGGAGTTCCAGGGTACAGTGATCCATGATTGCTTCACTGCACTCCAGCCTGGGCAACAGAGTGAGACCCTGTCTCTAAAATAAACGATAATAATAATAGAGGCCATTTAATTATCTATATGTATATGTGAGTGTGTTTATTATATATAATAACTCATCGAACCTTCCCAACAACCCCATTTCACAAAGGAGGAAGCTGAAACACAGAGAGGCTAAGACACTTGTCCAAGGTCACATAGCCAGTACAAGGATGGGGAACCTAACCCAGGTAGTTTGGCTTTGGAGTTTCTATTCTGAATCACCATGCTCTGCTACCTATGCCTAGAGCAAGAGGGAGCAAGGAGAGAGGAGAGAAGACAGATCACCTGAAGTCAGGAGTTCAAGACCATCCTGTCCAACAAGGTGAAACCTCTCTCCACTAAAATATAAAAATTAGCTGGGCATGGTGGCACACACCTGTAGGTAGTCCCCAGCTACTTGGGAGGCTAGAACCATCTGATTTGTGAAAATTAAAAGATGGTATATTATGTTTCATGCAGGCAACTCCTTTATAATTCTTTTGTGTTCTTGGGGGTCATTGAGGTAACAGTTATACCCTCTTTTCCCCCAGCACAGATTTGAGGACAATCAGTGGGCAGAGGCAGAGTGAGCTGGGTGGAGAAGGAGCCTGCCCATTAGGTAGACTCCTGGTTGGCAGTTATTTACTTGTCCTCACTGTGGCTGGTTTATGGGAGGCACCTGATAGTCACCACTCCAGAAATGCTGGTCAGGACAAACTCATCAACACACCCAAGAGCAAGCAGACAGTGGTGGCAGAGGTGAAGCCACAGGAAGTCACACACGGGTCACCCATGAGCCTTTTCCCATTTGCCAGGGCCAGGGGTCACTTTGGATGGGGCAAGTTGTGAAAGGCATGGTGTCCTCTGCCAAGGAGATGGGAAAGGTGGGCACAAGGCTGACGTGTTGATGGAAAACAGCCCAGAGGAGCACCAGGGTCCTGCCAGGGCCACCTCCCCTCTCCCTGACTTTTCCTCCCCACCTTGGCAGGTACAGTGCCGTGCGCCACCTTCTAGCTGACTTGGAACAGGAGACCAGAGAGGCCCTGAAGTCCCTGTATGGCTTTCCAGAGTCCCGGAAGCGCCGAGAAGCAGAGTCCTGGAGCTCTGACTTGGAGGGAGCACAGCCCAGATTCTCCCACCGGATCCCACTGCTGCTCTTCGATCAGGACGAGAAGGGCAAGGTCAGGGACTTCTTCACAGGGAGGAAGCGGAAAGTCAGCGGGAGCATCATTCACAAGGCTTCAAATGTCATGCACATCGAGTCCAAGCAGGTGGTGGGATTCCAACTGGTAAGATTTCACCTTCTCACTGCTTAGTGGCATGGGATGGGCTGGGTCCAGGGACTCTTCTCCTTGGCCACTATCCCCTATAGTCCCACCGGAAGAAATATACCCAGGTAGGGTCAGGCTCAGTGGCTCATGCCTGTTATCCCAGCACTTTGGGAAGCCAAGGCAGGTAGATCACATGGGGTCAGGAGTTTGAGACCAACCTGGCCAACATGGTAAAACCCCATCTCTACTAAAATACAAAACTTAGCTGGGCATGGTGGCACATGCCTGTGGTCCCAGCTACTTGGGAGGCTGAGGCAGGAGAACTGCTTGAACCTGGGAGGTGGAGGTTGCAGTGAGCCCAGATGGTACCACTGCACTCCAGCCTGGGTGACAGGATGAGACTCCATTAAAAGAAACAAAACAAACAAACCAACAAATAAAAAATGGGGGGGTTGAGGGACAAGGGGAGGGAGAGCATTAGGACAAATACCTAATGCATGTGGGGTTTAAAACCTAGGTGACAGCTTGGTAGGTGCAGCAGACCACCATGGCACATGTATACCTGTGTAACAAACCTACATGTTCTGCACATGTATCCCAGAACGTAAAGTAAAATTATTTGGAAAGGGGAGGAGAGGGGAGGGGAAGGGAGGGGAGTGGAGGAAGGAAGGAGGGAAGGAGGGAAGGAGGGAAGGAAGGAAGGAGGGAAGGAAGGAAGGAAGGAAGGAAGGAAGGAAGGAAGGAAGGAAGGAAGGAAAGAAGGAAGGAAGGAAGGAATAAATACACTCACCTGGGGTGATTCAGCTGCAAACAACTAAAACTGACTCAGGTGATTTTAAGTAGGGGGGGTTGTAGAGAGAGGGCAAAATGTATTAGAAGGCAACCAGTAACTCTTGGAGGCCTCTCAAAGAGCAGAAATTAGGGCAGACATAAGGATATAGGTAGCAAGAAATGATGAAAATTCATTTCAGATATTGCTGCTAAAGAAGCATCAAATATCTTCAGTTTTGTTGTTGTTTTGTTGTTAATGTTTAATAGTCAAATTCCATCTTGGGACCATCTGACTGGTCAAGCGTGGATCACCTAATCACCCCTTGGCTAAGGGATGGTGGAGTATCTTCATAGCCAATCTCACCAGACTGTATCCAGAGGGGGAAAGGAAATTCCTCCAAAGCAAAATTGAGATGCTGGCACCAGAAGGAAAAAGACAGACAATAAACAGCAAAAACATCAGTGTTTCCTGCAGTACTTGCCTTCATGAGGCACTTGGCCTGACCTCATTTTCCCTTTTGGTCCCATCTGAGGGACTTTTTTTTTTTTTTTTTTTTTTTGACAGAGCCTTGCTCTGTTGCCCAGGTTGGAGTGTAGTGGTGCAATCTCGGCTCACTGCCACTGCAACCTCTACCTTCTGGGTTCAAGTGATTCTCCTGCCTCAGCCCCCCGAGTAGCTGGGATTACAGGCATGCACCACCCTGCTTGGCTAATTTTTTGTATTTTTAGTAGAGACTGGGTTTCACCATATTGGTGAGGCTGGTCTCAAACTCCTGACCTCAAGTGATCTGCCCGCCTCAGCCTCCCAAAGTGTTGAGATTACAGGCGTGAGCCACCACGCCTGGCCTGAGGGGCCCTTGAGAACTGCCATTCACTGAAAATGAATTCTAGGATTTTCCTAGGCAAACTCCTTCACCACCCTACCTCTCCATGTCCAGCCACCTCTGGAGGACAGGAGCTATGTCCATACCTTATAGGCTTGATTGCTGATTGTGTGACCTTGTAGCTATAGTCCCAAATCCTGAAAAATGGCCCTTCCTCTAAATCATTGAGACTTCAAAGTCTTCTTGGGTCCTTTCACAGGATATCTGCAAGGTTCTTCTTGATACCAAAATCAACTCTTTATATATATGTTTGTTTGTTTTAGAGACAAGATCTCACTTTGTCACCCAGGCAGGAGTGGTGCAATCATAGCTCACTGCAGCTTAGAACTCCTGGGCTCAGCCTCCCAAGTAGCTTGGACTACAGGAATGCACCACCACACCCAGATAATTTTTCTATTTTTTGTAGAGCTGGAGGTTAGCCATGTTGCCCAGGCTGGTCTCGACCTCCTGGCCTCAGTCTTCCCAGGACAATCTTCCAAATTGTTAGGTTTATAGGCGTGAGCCACTGTGACCAGCCGAAATCAGTTGACATCGGTCCATTTAGAAAAGTTTCCAGGCTTTGTGTGATGAGAACATTTGGAATGTACAATGGCTTCCCTATAAAGCTCTCATTATTGTATATTTCAAACAGTCCTCCCAGCTACCACACGTGCTTGGGAAGGATGGTATTTCAGTCAGCATTTTGTGGGTGAGATAATGGATACAGAACACCTTGCCTAAGATCCTGCAGAGAACTAGTGTCAGAGTCTGGGCTGGAATCCAGATGTCTCGAGTGTTGATATGATAAGAGATGGGAAAGATTGTTAGGAACATAGTAGCATCAATCAGATGAACCCTGGGGACCCTGAAGAAGCTGGCTTTACTTCTTGCTTGGTGGGCAAGTAGTACAGAGTCGCAGGAGTAGGACGCTGTCTTTTCTCATTAGCCCCTTTTTGGTCCTTGAGGCTTGAAGATGATCATTCCCAGCCCCTAGAAGTGAGAGGAAATCCATCCTTGCCCCAGATATCCTGCCTGTTCCCCTGAGTATCTGACCTGGAGTCTCAGTCACTCAGTCTTATGGTCCTTCTGAAGAATAGCGATAGGACCGATGGCTTCAGCCTCACGTCTCCTCTTATTTACAGTGCTCAAACGACACCTCTGACTGTGCCACCTACACCTTCAGCTCGGGGATCAATGCCATTCAGGAATGGTATAAGCTGCACTACATGAACATCATGGCACAGGTGCCTCTGGAGAAGAAAATTAACATGAGCTATTCTGCCGAGGAGCTGCTGGTGACTTGCTTCTTTGACGGAGTATCCTGCGATGCCAGGTCAGGAGAGAAAGCTGCTCTCTCAGCCTCTGAGGGCTGGCAGCTCTAAGTACCAGGCCCCTTTCAGGCACCTACAGCCTTGATGATAGGTCTTGGGAGTAAAAGGTGCCCTTCTCCCTAATGCTGCCTTTTGGAAACTGCTTACATGGGAGCTGTGTTCTAGAGTCAGTGAGTGAGGTATACATGACATACAATCAAAATTTCCTTAAACTCATTAAACTACTCATTAAAAACAAGGTAGATGGCTGGGCGCTTTGGCTCACACCTCTAAATCCCAGCACTTTGGGAGGCTGAGGCAGGTGGATCACTTGAGGTCAGGAGTTCAAGACCAGCCTGGCCAAGATGGTGAGGCCCCGACTCTACTAAAAATACAAAAATTAACCAGGTGTGTGGTGCACGCCTGTAGTCCCAGCTAGTTGGGAGGCTGAGGCAGGAGAATTGCTTGAACCCAGGAGGTGGAAGTTGCAGTAAGCTGAGTAAGACTCAAAAGAAAGAAAGAGAGAGAGAGAAAGAAAGAAAGAAAGGAAACCCCCAACCCACAAGGTTGGCACAAAAGTACCTGTTTTGCCATACACTGTGCATATAACCTTGTATTTACCATCATACATACTGATGATTAAGAGCCATTGTTCTAAGGAAGGAAGGAAGAGAAGGAGGGAGGAATAGGGGAAGAAAGGCCTATGTTCAAATACGTGAGATTTCAAACCTTTCACCTTTAGGATAACACTCAGATCCCTGGTGGTGACTGGGCAGTGGGTGAGACATTCTGAAGTGTTCCTGGCCCAGGCACAGTGGCTCACGCCTATAATCCCAGCACTTTGGGGGGCTGAGGAGGATGATTGCTTGAGCTCAGGAGTTAAAGACCAGCCTGGGCAACGTTGAAAAACCTCGTTTCTACAATAAAAAATAAAAATAAAAAAAAATTAGCTGGGCATGATGGCACACACTTGTAGTCCCAGCTACTCAGGAGGCTGAGGTGGGAGGATCACTTGTGTCTGGGAAGTTGAGGCTTCAGTGAGCCATAATTGCACCACTGCACTTCAGCCTGGGCAACAGAGCGAGACCCTGTCTCAAAAATAAAAATAAAATAAAATACTCAGCCTCTTTCGCCTGTCTATATGTTAGGGGACAGATGGGTTATTGTGAAAAGTGAATAATTGGAATCATGTCTCCCTAAGAGTTGGGTTCCAAAGTCACATAAGGGCACAGACGATATGATTCTTTCCTTGGGGATCATTTTCTAGGACTGGGAATTTGAATGGAAAAATGCCAAGTGTTGGCTGAAAAATTCAAAAGTGGAGGAATTTGGGGGCAGATGTGGCACAAGGAATGCCAAGATAGGATAGAGATGAAGGTGAGAGGATTCAGAGAGAACACAGAAGGCGGAGAGCTAGTTCTATGTCCATGTGTGTCAGCCAGGATGAGGGGCCTTGTTTGTCATTTGGTCAGGAGCAAGATGGGTATAATGAGCCACATCTTTTACCCAATCTCCCTAAAAATAGTTGGCTTCATTAGCACTGTCCTGCCCAACTTCAGCTAAGATGTGTGGGGGAGATCCCTTTCTGACCCATTTTCTTCCTCCGTAGGAATTTCACCCTTTTCCACCACCCAATGCATGGGAATTGCTACACTTTCAACAACAAAGAAAATGAGACCATTCTCAGTACCTCCATGGGGGGCAGCGAATATGGTAAGAAAATGTGCAACAAGGAGATCTTGAGGTCCTCCAACAGTGGACTTGGGGGCAGCAGGACAGTGGGGCTGCAGGAGCCTTCCAGAAACTCAGAATCTCTCCCCCTTAGCCAGAAACCAGGGACGCCTTTTTTTCTGTCAGTGTTTCCATCGGTGTTCATGCTGGCTCCTTCCTTCCAAATCGGTGTCTGTTTTCTTTTTTGACTTCTCTTCCACCTTTGAGAGAGCTACAGGGACATCACTGGGGTTCCTTCTTCTAGGGAACTACTCCAGTTTAAACTCATAGCTGGGGTGAGTAATGCAGGGCATGTGGTTTCCAAATGGAGTTAAGCCCAGATATGCTGAACAAATTAGGGGGGTAGATGCACCTTTATCTTAGTTCAGATGACAGATTCTGGTTGGAGCCCAAACCCAGCTTGGCAACTCACTGTGTGACCTTGGTCAAGTTACTGCACTTCATCTATAAAGTGGGACTAATAATAATATCTCCCATGTGAGATTACTGAGAGGACTTAAAATACAGACTTAGAATAAGACCAGGTCTGCACTCTGTTAGTCTGCTTGGACTGCCATAACAAAATACCAGAGACTGGGTGCCTTCGGCAATAGACATTTATTTATCACAGTTTTGGAGACTAGGAAGTCCAAGGTCAAGGCACAGGCACACTCGGTTCTGGTGAGGCTTCTCTCTTTGGGCTGCATATGTCTGGATGCCCTCTCTCCATGTCCTCACATGGCCTTTCCTCTGTGGTGTGTCAACCTAGAGAGGCCTGTGATGTCTCTTCTTCTCATCAGGGCATCAGTCCTATCAGATTAGAGCCCCCGCTTATGGCTTCCTTTCACCTTAATTAAGGCCCTATCACCAAATAATATCCCTTTGGGGTTTGGGGCTTCAACATATGAATTTGAGGCAGAAAACAATTCAGCCATAACACATACCAAGTACGCAGTAAATGTTAGTTGCTATTATTATTACTATTACCCTTACGAGCACTGTTACCAGTCTACCACTATTGCTGCTGAAGTCGCAATGGTATTATTTCAGGGGTAATAAGTCACTACCCTCAAAATAATACCATTGCAACTTCCAGCACTACTGTTACTACTGTTCCATTTTGATTACTTTTGTAGGGAAGGTAGGAACTGAACAGATTGGCCTGGTTTATGCCCAAAAGGAATTCTTGAAAGGTCCCATGCACATTGATGATGTGATATGTAGATATACTCCCACCAGGACAAGCAAGGCCCTGTCGTAAAGGAAATCCACACTTGGAATCCTGGCCTTTGTCACCGTGTAGTCTGTGCCCTTACTAAGTCTGCAAGAAATCATAATTCAGTGCATATACTTCATGGGGAAAAAGTAATCTGGAAACTGAAAGTGAAAAGTTGCAGAGTCCTGGCTCTGTATGGAGGAGCTGCGTGACCTCAAGCAATTCACTTCCCCTCTGGGGGCTTCTTTTCAAATTGTTTGTAATTCTTTACAAATTGTTTACAAATCATTTGCAATGGTTTACAAATTGTTTGTAATTCTTTATAAATTGTTTACAAATTGTTTTTGCAATTGTTTACAAATCGTTTGTAATTTTTTTTTTTTTTTGAGTCGGAGTCTCGCTCTGTCCCCACGGTTGAAGTGCAATGGCACAATCTCAGCTCACTGCAGCCTCTGCCTCCTGGGTTCAAGTGATTCTCCTGCCTCAGCCTCCTGAGTAGCTGGGATTACAGGCACGCACCACCATGCCCGGCTAATTTTTGTATTTTTAGTAGAGACAGGGTTTCACCATGTTGGTCAGGTTGGTCTTGAACTCCTGACATCGTGGTCTACCCGCCTCAGCCTCCCAAAGTGCTGGGATTACAGGCCTGAGCCACCATTCCTGGCCTATTATTTGTAATTGTTTACAAATTGTTTGCAAGTGTTTACAAATTGCCCTTGTTTACAAACTGAATGTCAGAATAACTCAAAATTCTCTTCTTTCCATCTGTATAGAGCCTGCTAATTCACTCATCCAGTTACCAACCATGGAGTATCTCCCATTTGCCAGGCCCTCTTCTAGGTCCCAGGGACACAGCAGTGAAAAGACAGAAGTTTTCTCTGCTGTTAGGAAACTTACATTTTTGTGGGGAGAGACAGATAACAAATGACTACACAACTACACAGACACGATCTAGTTACAAATCCTAATGACCACTATGCAGAAAAGAAAGAGGCAGAGTGGAAAGACAGAGTGGCTGGGATCAGGAAGGTGGGGGACTGTGAGTTTGGATAAGAAGGTCCAGAAAGATCTCTAAGAGGAAGATTATTTAAGGAGGAAAAGATTCATATTAAGATCTACACAAGAACATTCCAGCCACCAGCAAGGGCAAAGGTCTTGGGAAGAACATGAATCAGATGTGTTGTAGAAACAGAAATAAAACCAGTGTGCTTGGAGCTTATTGAAGTAGGGAGAGAGTGGGAGGAGATGAGGAGGGAGAAGTAGACAAGGGTTGTATTATCATCACCTTGATGATGCAGCCAGGTTTATTCTATGGCATTTCCATGTATCCAGTGAGATGCCCCTGAAGAGTTTCAGGTTTCAGGGAGTGACCTGGCCTGAGGTCCAATTGAATGAGCAGGATCTATATGGATGGAAAGAAGAGAATTTTGAGTTATACTGACATTCAATTTGTAAACAAGGGCAATTTGTAAACAATTGCAAACAATTTGTAAATAAGCCCAGAGAGGGGAAGTCCATTGCTGGAGGTCACAGCCCAAACATAACAGAGCCAGGACTCTGCAATTTTTCACTCTCAGTTCCCAGGTTACTTCTTGCCAGTGAAGTATGTGCACTGATGCTGTGTTTACTCTGGTGCTGGGTCAGCAAAGACTGAAAGGGGCAAGAGCAGGAGTAGGAGGAGAAGTTGGGCCAGTGATCAGAAACACCATTAGTGATTCATCTCTTCTTGGGTGACCGCCTTGAGGGATTAAGCAGCCACAGCAATGCATGGTTTTTTTTTCTTTTTTTTTTTTATACTTTAAGTTCTGGGGTATACGTGCAGAATCTTGCAGGATTGTTACGTAGGTATACACATGCCATGGTGGTTTGCTGCCGCCAACCCTCCGTCACCTACATTAGGTATTTTTCTTAATATTATCCTTCCCCAATCTCCCCACCCCTTGCTCCCTCCCCCAACCCCCCACCAACAACAGACCCCAGTGTGTGATGGTCCCCTCCCTGTGTCCATGCTCCAAACTCCCCATCTCAAAGGATTGTAAGGAGATGGCATGTCTCGGGCAGAGTGGCAATTTCCTTATACTTGGAAAAAACATATGCTTAGTAAGAACTGTGGCGGTGATTCTGTGTTTGAACCTCTGTTTTGAGCTAAGCTGTGGGGCACAGCAGAGAGCAAGTCAGGCATGAATTTCAATCTCATGGAGCTTCCAGTCTAGCCCTTGTCCACCTGTCACTTGTTGGAAATACTTGGTCTTGGATTTGAAGCTCCTGAAGCAGTGGGAGAGGTGGGCTACCCCCAGGAAATGTTTTCCTAGCCTTTGATCACAGCAGGTTGCCTTATCCTCCCAGGGCTGCAAGTCATTTTGTACATAAATGAAGAGGAATACAACCCGTTCCTTGTGTCCTCCACGGGAGCTAAAGTGATTATCCATCGGCAGGATGAGTATCCCTTTGTTGAAGATGTCGGAACAGAGATCGAGACGGCAATGGTCACATCCATAGGAATGCACCTGGTAAGAGAATAGATTTCCGTAGGCTTGGAAAGGAAAACAGAAAGTTTCTTTTCAAGGATAACCAATGAGGTGCAGCTTATGGAAACGGGTATTTGTTTCAAAAGGAAACATGGTCCCAGATTTTCCCGTGGTTACTCCATTCATTTCAAGAGTTACATTAAAGGTTGTGTTTGTATCTTCTGGCTGGCTGTGGTGGCTCACACCTGTAATCCTAGCACTTTGGGAGACCAAGGTGAGGTCAGGAGTTCGAGACCAGCCTAGTCATCTTGGTGAAAGCTGTCTGTACTAAAAATACAAAAAACTAGCCGGGCGTGGTAGTATGTACCTGTGATCCCAGTTACTCAGGAGGCTAAGGCAGGACAGTAGCTTGAACCCAGGAGGAGGAGGTTGCAGTGAGCCGAGACCACACCACTGCACTCCAGCCTCAGCAAGACTCTGTCTCAAAAGAAAAAAAAAGGTTGTATTTGTGTCTTTTGTATGGATTAATAGGACAGGATGCCATTTGGGGAAAGAATTTAAAAAGCAAGACACCAGCTTTTATGGAACCTATGCTGGAAGCAAGGCATTAGCACACTAACTATATATATTTGTCAGTAATATAAATAGATAAGATTATCATCTGTCCTTCTGGGCTGCTTAGAGGCCTATGAAGCATGCCAATAACTGCATTAAAGCCTAACGGAAAGTCACTGGGCTATCCAAGGTCTAGACTATCACACTGCCGTCAATTTTACCTCGTTTACCAAGAACCCCTTCTCCCTCCAAATTTGACCTTTGTGGACCTCATTGGGCACTGAGAACATGCATACCTATCAACTAAAATGCAAGTAAGCTGCAGACCAACCCCTGCCTGAGTCAGCCTTGCCCAATGGGAGCTGAATGGTAAGGTGAAGAGTGGGCTCTGATGGCCCTGATCCTTCTACTGCTTATGCAGTTTTCTTGTTTGCAGGCCTGGGGTCTTTTTTTTTTTTTTTTGAGACAGAATTTCACTCTTGTTACCCAGGCCAGAGTGCAGTGGCGCGATCTTAGCTCACTGCAACCTCCACCTCCTGGGTTAAAGCAATTCTCCTGCCTCAGCCTCCTGAGTAGCTGGGACTACAGGCATGCACCACCATGCCCAGCTAATTTTTGTATTTTTGGTAGAGACAGGGTTTCACCATGTTGACCAGGATGGTCTCGATCTCTTGACCTCGTGATCCACCCGCCTCGGCCTCCCAAAGTGCTGGGATCATAGGCATGAGCCACCACGCCTAGCCCCTGGGGTCTTTTTATTTCAGGATCTATCTGCCTCTCTCTTTCTCTCTTTCATAGAATGACTGTTAAGAACTCATTTAGGCCGGGCAAGGTGGCTCATAGCTGTAATCCACTGTAATCCCAACACTTTGGGAGGCCAAGGTGGGTGGATCACTTGAGCCCAGAAGTTTGAGACCAGCCTGGGCAAAATGGCAAAATCCCATCTTTACCAAGAACAAAATACAAAAATTCACCAGGCATGGTGGCACATGTCTGTAGTCCCAGCTACTCAGGAGGCTGAGGTAGGAGGATCATCTGACCCCAGGGAGATTCAGTGAGCCATGACTGTACCACTGCACTCCAGTTTTGGTGACAGAGTAAGACCCTGCCTCAAAAAAAATAAAAATAAAAATAAAAAATAAAAAACTTATTTAAAGGAGCTAGTTAGGTGCACTATATGCACCCGTAGTCCCAGCCACTCAGGAAGCTGAGGTGGGAGGATCATTTGAGCTCAGGAGTTCAAGACCAGCCTGGGCAACGTAGCAAGAACCCCCATCTCTATACAAAATATAAAATTAGCCAGGCATGCTGGCACACACCTATAGTCCCAGCTACGTAGGGGGGATCGCTTGAGGACAGGAGTTCAAGACCCAGTCTGGGCAACATAGTAAGACCCTGCCTCTATTTTTTTTAAAGCACTTATTTAAAGAGAGTGTCCACACCAACCATACCAAGGAGTATACCAGGCAGAGTGTATCTCTTTTCCACTCTTAACACTCTTTTTAAAGAGACAGCCACTTAAGTAGTTGGGCAACTCATTCTTTTGTTCACTGGCAGTTGGCAAAACCTCAGAGCACAATAGTGAACATTTTGACCAGACATTTCCCACACAGTTTCATCTATAACCCCGAAGAAGGACCCAAGATTTGTAGCATATCCTTCCCCTATCCTTTTGCCCTCTTCCCTCTTTTCTGCCTCTCACAGTGTCTGCAAACTGGTATGAGATACTAGAGCTTGCAAAACTAACAAGAGCTAAGGAATTCTGCTCTCTTGTTTTCTTCCTCTGAGCTTGGAAATAGCCACCACATTGTTAAGCAAGTGTTCTCTTTACCAGTGGTGGGTAAACAAAGACATGGGTGAGTTTTCTGCTACACCTAATTTGAGTTGTAGAAAATGGAAGCCACAGAGCAGGGTCAGTCAGCTCTAGGTCTGATTTATGAGCATTTAAAACAACAATAAAAAGACAGGATTATGAAGAGGTCAGCAGAGGGTCACTAAGAAAAAGTCCAACCAAACTAGACTTCCTTCCTTTCTTATTTTATTTATGTATTGATTGATTGATAGGTGTGTGAAGCTGGTAGGCTCAGTCAGCTGGCCAGGCAGTTGGTAAATAAAACTTCCTTTATTCATTGTGGGATTGTGTGTCCAAAGTACTGAATAGTAAGAGATGAACCCAACAGAGCTCCTGCCTTCAAAGCTCATCACTTTAAGAGGAGAAGGCAAAAGTTTGTTTGCTTTTTTGAAGACAAGGTCTTGCTTTGTCATCCAGACTTGAGTGCTGAGGTGTGATCACAGATCACAGCAACCTTGCCACCGGGGGTCATGCAATCCTCTTGCCTCAGCCTTCCAAGTAGCTTCCAATTTAATTTTTAAATTTTTGTAGAGATGGGAGTCTCGCTGTGTTGCTCAGGCTGGTCTCAAACTCCTGGCCTTGAACAGTCCTCCCATCTGGCTTCCCAAAGTGCTGAGATTATAGGTGTGACCCACCACACCTGACCAAAGACAAAAGTAAACACAACTTTGCAATACAGTTTCCATATCTGTGGAAACAGATCTTTTCTGCCTGGTTCTGAGGCTCAGTTCTTAGAATGTAATAGATCCTCAGTAAATATTGATAGATGGTGGGTTGATGGGTAGATGGATGAGTGGGTGGACGGTTGGATGGATGGATAGATGGATGGATGGATGGATGGGTGAATGGGTGGGTGGGTAGGTGGATGGATGGATGGATGGATGGATGCCCAGACAGAAACTACTGGAGAAGGCTTTCTAAATGATGAATTTAGAAGGGCAAGTGCAGGCAAATAGTCAGGAAGAGCCAGTCCAGACAAAGAATGTAGCAATTACAAAGGAGTCACAAAAAGGAGTTTATTTAAGCTGTGTAGTGAAACTTTTCAAAAAGTAATTTTGGTGGAAGTATAATCAGTACACTGGAGACAGCACATTTGTAGTAATTCTGGAAAGAAATGATGTGAACCTCAGCTGAGGCAATGGCTTGTGAGGATGAACAGAGGAAATAGATTTCAGGGATATTACGGCACAGAAGCAACAGGGCATGACAGCCAGTATTAGTGAGAAGGGTCCGGAAAAGTTAAATTAATATTTAAGTCCCAGCTTGGGTAGGGAGGTGGAGGAATGCCAGGCTCAGAATTAGAGAATCCAAGAGCAGGGGTATGTCTAGGGGAGAAGATGACCGCTTCAGTTTGGGACAGACCCAATTTATTATGGCTTTGAGAAGTCAAGGTGAAAAGAAAGCATTCGCTGGATGCTGTGGACCTGGAGCTCAGGAGAAAATCTTGGGGGGTAATTGTAGACATGGAAATAAATGCCAAGACCTGAGACAGAACACTAAACATGCAATGTTTAAGGGCTGAGCAGAAAGTAAAAGGAGAAAGAGAGGCAGAGAGGTAGGAACAGAAGCCAGAAAGAGTTGGCATCAGATACATCAAGGAAGAGAATTTCACGGAAGGTGTGACCAAAAGTAACAAGTACAGTTGAAAGGTCAGGCAAGGTAGAGGGCAAAAGTATTTCTCTGAGTTTGGCAGCCAAGAGGTCACCAGTGTTCTGTGCCAGAGTAGTTTTCAGTGGAAGGAGTGGAACAGAAACCAAAGTACAGTGGGTTGAATGGTGAATGGGAAATGAGGAAGTGAACAAGGGTGGACCACTCACCCAGTGCAGTTGGGGACCAGGCCCTGGAGAATGGGGAGACTCCATGTCACTGCAAATCCTATTGTACCTTTTGATCCTAAAGTACATAGCCAGACTTCATTTCACAAGTACAGTCTATGCCAAACAGGGATTAAGAGCTCCGATGGCTGAGATTCAAGCCCCAGTTTTGCAAGTTGGTTGTGTAATCTCTGCCTCAGTGATCTCATCTGTAAAATAGGGATGATGAAAATGATGCTACTTCATGGCTGGTGAGGATTTAATGAGTTGGTACATGTGAAACACTTTGAAATGTGCTTGGAATATAGTAAGTGCTTAAAATATATTGGCCTGGCTGGGTGCAGTGGCTTACATCTGTCATCCCAGCACTTTGGGAGGTTGAGGCAGGTGGATCACTTGCACCTAGGAGATTTGAGACCAGCCTCAGCAATATGGTGAAACCCCATCTCTACAAAATATATAAAAATTAGCCAGCTGTGGTGGCAGGAATGTGTAGTCCCAGCTCCTTGGGAGGCTGAGGTGGGAGGATCACTTGAACCCAGGAGGCAGAGGTTGCAGTGAGCTGTGACCATGCCACTGCACTCCAGCCTGGCAGAGTGATACTCCATCTCAAAAAAAAATTATATATATATATATATATATATATATATA